CTTACTGTTAAAAAGCGCAAACTACAATATTTGGGACATGTTATGAGGGGAGATAAATACCAGTTGCTGCAATTGATTATACAGGGAAAGATAATGGGAAAGAGATCTATAGGAAGAAGAAGGCATTCATGTTGAAAAACTTGAGAGAATGGTACAATTGCACCAATTACCAACTGTTTAGATCTGCAGCATCAAAAATACGCATAGCTTTGATGATAGCCAAACTTCGGAACGAAGACGGCACTTGAAGAAGAAGAACGATTTAAACTAACTTTTTTGTAAAATATATTTTTTTATATATAATAAAAACTTACTTTCTTCATACATCCGATAAATTTCTAAGCGATTTTGATACTATGATTTAAGTCAGTCGTTAATTTTCATTTTGCGATTGTGCTTCTATGTAAAGGTTGTATTTATCCCATCTTTATATTTCCGCACACTTTTTTTCTTAGACTTTCAGACATTTGGATGTTAACTGAAAGGTTTTTGTTATCAAGAACATTTTTAACATTTACATAATTCAATAAATACATTTTAATGAGCAACTTACCTCAACAGGGTTTTCATTCGGCAAATAATTTAAAAAAAAAATGGTAGGCATTTTGAATAAACCTTTGTGTAGTTTCATTACCTTGTAATTTAGGAACAGCATCGTTACTCATCTAAAAATAATAACTTTTAAAGGGTAATTTTATCATATTTATTAAGAAAAACTTACCAACGCATTAGCTAATGGAACAAAGGGAAACCTTTGACTATGTATAATAATAAAATTTAAAATATAACTAACTAATTAACTAAATATAACTAACAAAAGAATTAAAGAACGATAATAAAACAATAAAACTATATTAAATTGAATAAACAAATCGAATAACTCCAATATTTTACGTGAATAATAACAATTCAAATATTATATTTTAAATATACAGGGAAAATTTGATGGGTTTAGTATACACTTCCACTATTTAGAATAATTCTTCTTTTTTCAAAGAAAGAAGTCTGCAATAGCAGTATACTTGAGCTATTATTACTGAGAAGTAGGAATTGTTGTGTTGTAGGTTTCCGACAATGAATCTGTCAAAATATGCCCGAGCTAAGTGAATGGAGTATAACTTAGTTTGTTGTCTTGTTATGAAATAATCTATTATCGATTTTAGACCTCTTGTGTGCTGATACCAGGTGTATTTATGTATGTTCTTGTGGGCGAAAAAACGGTTCAAAATCTTTAACTCATATTGTTGGCATATATTTATGAGTCTTTCTCCGATGTTGTTAACAGTTTCTTGTCAATGCATGTCTACCACTTTACTTTGTATTTGTTTTCCTACTCTGGCATTAAGTTCTTCTCCGCATATAATCTCATAGACTAGGTGGGATCTGTAAAAATTCAGACCATAATGAACATTTTCCATAGGAAGCTATTTTTTGCTGGAATCCCTTCAGGATGGGCCCAATATCGATAATCACGATATGCGCCAGTTGCAAACCCTGTGTTAAATTTTTTATTTAACAAAATCTGAAAACAATTGAAAATTTCTAATTTTTTTGCTCCTATTTTCGTTTATAATTCGGAAAATATTGATCCTAGAGAAAAAATTATACGAAGTTAAAAGTTTTGTTATTCAATTTTACACAATATGTCGTTAGCTAGAAATTGAAAATTTAATGTTTATTGTAATAAATAATAAATTAATCTTGGTAGTTTGCTCATAACAAAACTTATTGACACACAATACAGTTCGACTTAGGTAATTGAAGTATAAAATTACAGTAGATGCATTCCAATGGTCCATGTGCCAATACCCTAGGTTTAAAGATCCTTCAAACATTTTGTTGGATAATAACTCAACCCTATCTCTGCTTATTTAATTTTTAGATTTAGTTTTTTTTTGGTAATGATAAAAATAATACCTATCTAAAAATTTTATACATTTTTTAACGATATTTTTTTATTTAGATTTAGTGCAATTCCGTTATCAGTAATGGCAACAACGAATTGATTTCTGAACACAGGTTTACATTGGGGAAAAAAGTGTACCAGTTTTATATGACGGGAAGTGTACAACCTTAAATTGAAATGCACTTTCATAAAAAAAAATTAAAAGCCAGACATTGTAAGCAACAAAAAACAATGTCTGGCTTTTAATTTTTTTTTTATGAAAGTGCATTTCAATTTAAGGTTGTACACTTCCCGTCATATAAAACTGGTACACTTTTTTTCCCCAATGTAAACCTGTGTTCAGAAATCAATTCGTTGTTGCCATTACTGATAACGGAATTGCACTAAATCTAAATAAAAAAATATCGTTAAAAAATGTATAAAATTTTTAGATAGGTATTATTTTTATCATTACCAAAAAAAAAACTAAATCTAAAAATTAATGTTTATTGTTGAAAAAATAGCAATAATTGGAAAAAAAGTACAAGTACAAAAAAATTAAGTGAATCCTTTAAATGTTTTCGAATTTTTGAACTTGACTTACAAGCTCCATATTCCGCTTAGAAAAACTTGAATGTTTGAAAACGTGTGAAACGTGTGCTAAATTTTTTTAAGATCGGTCGGATATGTTTTGCATAATAATTTTGCAATCCAGCCTACTGAAAAAAAAATCGCAAATTTTCAAATTTATAGTAGGTCCTAAATAAGGCCCTCAGATAGTTGCAATTTTTTTTTTACATATAAAGGAAGGCTCAAACTTCCAAACGCTTTTTGTAAAATTCAAATCGGTTCACTAGAGAGCCTAGAAATTTTTTTAAAGTTTTAAACATTTTTTAGGCTTATAAACAAATTGAATAACTTTACGAGCTTTAAACATATCGTTTTCGAATCAAAATATATTCTCAAATCAAATACTGTCATTATTATGATAAAACTGCAAAAATTAATTATTTTGAAAAGTTTGATTTTTACAAAAAAAAAATCGTTCGCCTTTATTTTAACAATTCAAAGTATTACTGTTATTATATATTGTTACTTTTAGTAAACAAATATGTATTTATAAATTGTTAATAAATAATTTGAATTGTTAAAACAAAGGCGAACGATTGTTTTTTGTAAAAATCAAACTTTTTAAAATAATTAATTTTTGCAGTTTTATCATAATAATGACAATATTTGATTTGAGAATATATTTTGATTCGAAAATGATATGTTTAAAGCTCGTAAAGTTATTCAATTTGTTTATAAGCCTAAAAAATTGTGTAAAACTTTTTAAAAATTTGTAGGCTCTCCTAGTGAACCGATTTGAATTTTACAAAAATCGTTTGAAAGTTTAAGCCTTCCTTTACACGTAAAAAAATTTGCAACTATCTGAGGGCCTTATTTAAGGCCTACTATAAATTTGAAAATTTGCGATTTTTTTCCAGTAGGCTGGATTGCACAATTATTATGCAAAACCTATCCGACCGATTTTAACAAAATTTAGCACACCTTTTAAACATATTAAAAAGTTTTTGTAGGCGGAATATGGAGCTTGTAAGTCAAGTTTAAAAAGTCAAAAACATTTAAAGGAATAACTTCATTTTTTTGTACTTTTTTCCAATTATTGCTATTTTTTTCAACAATAAACATTAAATTTTCAATTTCTAGCTAACGAAATATTGTGTAAAATTGAATTACGCAACTTTTAACTTCTTATAATTTTTTCTCTAGGATCAATATTTTCCGAATTATAAACGAAAATAGAGCAAAAAAATGAGAAATTTTCAATTGTTTTCAGATTTTGTTAAATAAAAAATTTAGCACAGGGTTTGCGACTGGCGCATATCGTGATTATCGATATTGGGCACATCCTGAAGGGATTCCAGCAAAAAAATAGCTTCCTATGGAAAATGTCCAATCCAAAACAGATCCCGCCTAGACTATCATGGCTGTTAGGAATTTCGTTTAGGATTTTTCTAAAGTCTTCTTCAAAGGCTTCATTTTCTTGTACTGAGTAGTCATCATTTGCGGCATATACTCCCAGAATTGTTATTTGTGTTCCTCTTAGGAGAATCGTCACTTTAATCAAACGTTCTTTGTATGCTTACCAATAGAATACATTTTTCGAATTTCTTGTGTACAAATATTGATATCCCTGCTCTTGCTCTTTTATCCTTTCCCACTCCTAAAAACAAATGTACATCTTCTTCTTCATGCGCCTTGTCCGTTCCGAACGTTGGCAATCAACATGGCTATTCTGACTTTGTTTACGGCAGATCTGAATAGTTCAGCAGATGACAATCTGAACCATTGCCGCAAGTTTTGGAGCCACGAGTGTCTTCTCCTCCCTGGACCCCTTCTGCTGTCTATTTTCCCTTGAACGATCAGCTGTACAAATGTACATAGTCTTTTAATTTTTCATGTTGTATATTCCAGATTCCGTAATTCATGGTCCATTTCCGTTGCTGTTTTCGTCTACTGTAATTTACGTCCGGTAACCGAGGCTCATTGAGTTTTTTAGCATTGTAGAATTTTCACAAGTGTAAGGTCGCTGGCCTTACGACTTAACCCCCATCCTTGGAGGACCAAATTTTCTGTTATGGTTCATTCTCCTAGCCGGTATGTTCCAGTTTTTAGGCGCCAGAGACTCGCCTTTTATCGTCTCTAGACTGCTACATAACGCACTCCCATTGTACGCCATTCACCCAGTGGTTACGCGACATGGTATGTCTTCGTGGACGTGAGAGTATGATTTGTTGGCTTAGCTTAGTTTTATTCCTAAAACCTCCAGGTCATTCGTTGGAAAACAGTGGGAATTTCTTAGAGTTTTATTACGACAAAAGCATCGGCAGCTTCATGTCGCCTCCAAGACCCCTTACCAGCCTTTAACCACCATATTATTATTATCTAAAACTATATACCTATTACTATATAAAACTATATATTATTTAAAATTACTTGAAAATATTTACAATGCCAACAAAAAAAAATTATTGTCTGATTATGAAATTGTCTGATAAGAAAATCATTATCTGATGTGTTGTTGATTAATTTAACTACTATTTTGTTGCAGGTAGACCACCACATTGATAATGGCTTTTGCGGGGTTGAAAAAACAAATAAATAAAGCTAATCAGGTGAGTAAATATTTTATGTCGCGTTTGAAACTTCATCACGTTCTGATGTTATACTATAATTGTATTATTGAATGATAGCAATTATTAGTTTTCAAACCGATACGTAACTCTATTGGCTTTAATCGATTTTAACAGTAATTTGCTTGATATTGGCTTTCATCGGTTTTAACAGTGATTTGCTTAATACAATTTGCATCCAGTCGCATTTATTTTTAATATAAACAAATGAAGTCTCGTAAAATGAGGCGAATAAAATTAGTTTTTAATAACATTCCAACCTCAAATACGATATAAACTTTTCCATTTTTTTGAGGTGGACCAAAACAATTTTTTTAATAATGTTGAATTGTAATATTGTTTAGAATTGTAAAAGCCGGTGTATGTGTGTAACATTTTTGTACAATGATTTAAAAACATATATATTCCTTCTTTTCCTCAACCCATTAACTCCTAAAAAGAAACTAGCGTTGAAAAAATGGCAAACGGTACAAAAGTGTTGATGTTGGGGTACATTTATTACATATATTGAAAACAATATTTTTTTTCAAAAACATTTTGAAATACAAAGGCGTCATCAAATGGAGACGTTAGGTATTTGTATGATATTTTTCAAAACATCCTTTTTCAATACACATTGTTTTGTTACACTTTTTGCATGTCCACCTTGCCTTCATATGACACACACAACACTTGAACTGTTTTTCCAGTTTTCCCGGAAAATGAAAACCTTCGGTGACTTCAATTCTGGAACCAGCTGTTCTTTTTCTTTGTGTCCTTGCAATGACACCATCTCTCAAATAACTACGTAATACGACAACGGAATTCTAACTGATCCATCACATTTTTAGCAGAAATTTGATGAAGTTTCCAGACATTAGTCATAATCATGTCAAGAAAGTACGTAAATAAAACCCACCACCACTTTTTACCTTGTATGCTTATTCGATATAATGAAATGCACTGGCACAGCCACCTTTACTTCCAAGCCATGAAGTAAAAAAGGCAACACCGCATTCTATGACGTCGGTAGTCCGATAATCAGCTGTAAGGTCTACCAGAATATTAAACTAATTTGAATTTTAGGAAACTGATATTTTGAAAACTTCAATTCATTACAGAAATATTTTTAGGGAAATTAAATTAATAAAACCTTATATATACCTAGTAAATATATATAAAGTTTTATTATTATTTAGGTTATATAATCAATAAAATAATCACTAGAGTAAAATTTATTGCACTTAAAAATACAGTGTCAAACAGTTAATCTTACAATCAAATGCAGTCAAGAATCTCTAGAAATTTTATATATTAAGTACTTAAGCATATAAAATAACACAAAACATTAACATGACATTTAAAAAGATTATTAAAAATTAAAAAGATATAAAATTTGTGTTAAGTAAAAACTTAGTGTAACTATTATGATTAAAAAATTCATCCTAAGAAATCAGACACAATATAAATATGGTTCTAAATTAATCTAATTGAAAATTAAATATTTTACTATTTACTTATAACTTTTGTTGAATTTTCATACTTGGATATACAAAAGTAGCAATTTTAAATATAAATAGGTTTGTTGTCATATAGATCAAGTTAAAAGAGGTATACATGAAAAATGTGAATGTAACATACCATTTATAACTTGTATATCGATTTAAAATAGCCTATATTCTCAAAAGATTTTTGAATGTAATACTCAAATGTGTTATCACTTATCTAAAAAGCAGATCTAAATGAAAAAGTAAGTTCTCTAATTGTGACCATCTTGTTAATTTACTATATTGTAAAATCCACTTCAAATCATTACCACTTAATCTATTCTTACCTACATTGACGATTACACTAAAATTACTGCTAACTATTACACTACGTATTACACAAATATTATCACACTTGTGTCCCAACTGATTAATGTTTAATACATAGAAATATACAGTCACTTGTAATTTTACTTGTCCAGTTTTTCAATGGGATATTATTGTCTAAGTCTAATTGACATAATTATGTTATCTCTTGTTCCCTCTTCTTATGCAAAAAGTTTCTTCTGTCTTCGGGATTCCTTCTTTCTTTAGTACGATGAACAGTTACATATGATGGTACTTCAGGAAATATTGTTATATCTTTATATAGTTCGGATTTATATGTCTTTATTCTAATTTATTGTCTATAATCTAATTTATTAAAACTCACGATAGCTAATTACTAATTTATTAAATAATTTTACAAATGTATTTATTTCACGTTTCGTACAAGTAAACCGCGTTTCCCGATCTTCTTATGACTGGTCCCTCAATGAAAGTATTCCCTTATTTATATAATTCCAAGCCGGTAAACAGAAAGGTGTAGAACATACCATGCTGTTCTCGATGTAGACACAGCGGCGACTGGTCTCAAAACATGTTTTTTTTATCGGCTTGTCGCCCCCAGAACATTCGATTCAGGTAGATTTTTGACCTAGAAATTACGAGAATCAATAAAAGAATTAGTCATAAAATATTTACAGTTCTATACGCCATAACATTTAAACTCGTAACATTGCCCCCCTCTTAAAAGATGGTTCCTCCTGGAACCTTGTCGGGACTGGAACTGGAACGACATGCTGATATCGGCAACTGGACCCTCTTTTACAACTTCCAGTTGTATAGAAATGACAAGGGACGGTTTTCTCTCCGCACCAGTAACTATGCGGATTGCAACAGACTAACACCTGGACTTCGGTGTCTTTAAACATCTCCTCCACCATATTTCGGATAACCCTCCAATCTAATTGGCGGCACTCCAACTTTGGCATGGCTAACTTTTGCACGTCGGACTCTAGTACGTGCTCTCTCAACTGAAGTAAGGCTTCCCATACATCTCGATAGGTAGGTTGGTCACGGGCAGTGTCTTTTGTTACCAGGTAGAAAAGGTAACGTGATGCATCTTGAAGTTTCAAGGTTTTACCAGGAGCTGGCACTTGGCATTGAAGTTCTGCAACTCGACCAAACTTCCTTCGAAAGACGGATGCCAACCCTGGTGCATCTTTGATACTGGCCGGGATGGTAAGGGCCAGTGAGTAGTCATCGGGAAGCGCGAGTAGATCTTGCCTTTCTTCAGTGGTAACACCATGCCTTGCTTTACCGGTACCTCCATAGGCACCCATGAATTCCTCAAACGTGAGGTCAGACACATCTTGGACTTGGTTTATTTCCACTTCTTCATCTACGTCGTGGTCGCCTTCGAAAGACGCCAGCCGGTTATGGTGTACTATCATCGGCTTTCCCCTCGGAATCTTGCTTATTCGATAAATGACATCATTGATCTTTTCCATAATGAGGTATGGACCTTCCCAAAACTGCTGCAACTTGGGGGAACAACCTTTTCGCTTTTTGGGATTATAAAGCCAGACTTTGTCGTTCTTCTTAAAACACCCCTTTTCGGCTTGCGTATCGTACCGTTTCTTCATTCGGTCACTAGCGATCTGGAGATGGGAACGGACCAACTCGTGTACATCGTCCATTCTTCTTCGTAATTCGATCACATAATCTTCACCTGCTACATCTTCTCCAGGTCGACACCCAAACTCTAGATCACAAGGTAGTCGCATCTCGCGTCCGAATAGGACTTTGGCTGGTGTCTGGCCTGTTGATTCATTAACAGCAGATCTGTAGGCCATTGTGAAGAACGGGAGATATTGGTCCCAGTCTCGCTGATGATCGGACACCATCTTTGTCAAATACTTGCCAACTGTTCTATTCATTCGTTCTACCATACCATCCGATTGCGGATGATAAGCCGTAGTTCTTGTTTTCTTCATACCTAGTCTATCACATATTCCTTGGAATAAATCGCTTTCGAAGTTCCTGCCTTGGTCACTATGGATCTCCAAAGGCACTCCAAATCGGCTGATATATTCTTGGATCAACTTATCTGCAACGGTGGCGGCCTTCTGGTCTGGAAGTGCGTAAATCTCGACCCACTTAGTGAAGTAATCCATTACTACCAACATGTACTTGCCTCCATTATCACTTTCTGGAAATGGCCCAGCAATGTCCAAAGCTATTCTTTCAAACGGGCTTCCAACATTATATTGTCTCATAGGAGCTCTCCTTTTTCGATAAGGCCCGTTACTCGTAGCACAAATAGTACATTTCTTACACCAGTCTTTTACATCGTCGGAACTGTTCATCCAATAAAACCGTTCCCGAATTCGCTGAAGGGTCTTTTTCACACCAAAATGCCCTCCTGATGGACTGTCGTGTAACTGACGAAGTACTTCGGCTATTCTGCTCTTTGGAATCACCAACTGTCTTCTCTTCTCTGAACCGTCATCATTTTCCAGGACTCGTTTGAGCAAGCCATCTTCCATGATAAATGAGTCCCACTGGGCCCAATACGTCTTAACTATTGAGCCTAGGTTTGATATTTCTTGCCAAGGTGGTCGACGGTTTTCCTCTTTCCATTTTCGGATTTTCTGTATAACTGGATCTCTCTCTTGTTCTTCCCTGATCTTGGTAGGCGTCCAGTCGTCGTGGACCACCGTCGTTCTTAGCACTGCTGCTTCCTTGGATTCCGTTTTGTTGCAGTGAGAACACTCTGCTGGGCATGGCCTTCTGGAAAGAGAATCGGCGTTTCGGTGGCTAACTCCGGCCCGGTGCTCAATCTTAAAATCATATTCTTGGAGTCGTTCGATCCACCTGGCTATCTGACCCTCTGGATTCTTAAACTGCATCAACCACTTAAGGGCGGCATGGTCGGTTCGGATTAAAAACTTCCTTCCATAGAGGTATTGATAGAAGTGCTCTACTGATTTCACTACTGCCAGAAGTTCTCTTCTCGTGACGCAATAATTTCGCTCAGGTTTTGAGAGAACTTTACTAAAATATCCGAGGACTCTTTCCTGTCCTCCTTGAATCTGAGACAGCACTCCTCCAATTCCCACATTACTTGCATCTGTATCTAAGATGAACTCTCCTTCTGGCAGTGGATACCCTAAAATTGGTGCTGTGATTAAA